CTGTTGCTGTTGCTGTTGCTGCTGTTGTTCGCGACGCCAGGAGGTGTGGATCACGCAGAGGGTAGCTGGCGACTCACCATCGCGAGGCCTGGCCAGGGCCATCCTGGGCCCCAGGACGGGGCGTGGACCCTCGGGGCCTCGGCCGGGAAGCCTACGCACGCCATCCGGGGGGCCCAGGGCAGCTCTGGCCCGACACGACGGTAGCGCACAGCTGCCCCCTGCGGATGGGTCCTCCCCCCGCCGCCTCACCCAGCAGACTCTGCCAAGCCCGTGCGTGCCGCCAGGTTCTCGGAGGGCTCGCGGGCAGGACCTCCAGGCGGGGGGGGGAACGGGGGAGAGAAAGGAGGAGGAGGAGGAGGAGGAGGAGGAGGAGGAGGAGGAGGAGGAGGAGGGGGAGGATGAGGAGGGAGGAGGAGGAGGAAGGAGGAGGAGGAGAGGAGGAGGAGGAGGGGATGAGGAGGAGGGGAGGAGGAGGAGGAGGAGGAGGAGGAGGAGGAGGAGGACGACGACGACGAGGAAGAAGAGAGGAGGAAGGGGGAGAAGGACGAGGACCAGAAACACGCGGGGACAAGGAGGAAGCGGAAATTGAGGATGACGAAGATAAGGGGAAGATGAGGAACAAGAGGAGGAGGTTGAGGATGAGGAAGATATTAAGGAAACGTAGGATGGAAGCGGAGGAGTAAGGCGGAGAGAGCGGGAGAGGGGGATAAGGAGGAGGGGGACCTGTCCCCTCCTGTTCCCTCTCCTCCTCCTCCTCCTCCTCCTCCTCCTTCTCTCGCCCTCTTCCTCTCCTCCCCCTCCCCCTCCCCCTCCCCATCCCGCTCCGCCTCCTCCTCCTTCTCCTCCTCCTCCTCCTCCTCATCATCATCATCATCACCCACCACCACCACCACCATCATCATCATCATCATCATCATCATCATCATCATCATCATCATCACCATCATCATCATAATCATAATCATCATCATCATCATCATCATCATCATCATCATCATCATCGTCATCATCATCATCATCATCACCACCACCACCACCACCATCATCATCATCAGCAGCAGCAGCATCATCATCATCATCATCATCATCATCATCATCATCATCATCATCATCGTCATCTTCATCACCATCATCATCAGCGTCATCTTCATCATCATCGTCAGCAGCATGATCATCCTGATGATCATCATCAGCAGCAGCAGCAACATCAGCATCATCAGCTTTACCGTCGCCACCATACTGTACAACATCCGTCTTTTTCGTCCCAACATGGCCATTATGTCGTCCATGGTGGAAAATGCGTGGCGGGAGTGGGACACGGCGCAAATCTCGCGTGAAAGGCCGAAATGTCGCTCTCGCATCGGCGTCGTGCTCACTTTTCTAGAGAGCTCTCGCCTGGGCGCGGCGAATTTTTTTCCGCACGCATTCTCGTCGACGCGCGAGCGGACGAAAACGTCGCTATCGCCTCGGCGCCGCGCAGACATCGCCTGCAAGTGGCGTTCCCGCCCCAGCGCGGCGCATGTTTGAGGGGGGGCCGCGGGGAGGGGCGGCTTGGCACCCTCGCCTAAGCTCCGTGCGCATGTCGTTCGGAAGCGGCGTTCCAGCGCGGGCGCGGCGCAAGGTTCGGCTGCCGAGGCGCATGGAAGCAGCAGCGGCGGCGGGGCCGCGCGCTAGCAGGCGAGATGCCGACCCCTCGACCAAGCGCCGCGAGCGAAAATGGCAGTGCTGTGTGAGCGCGGCGCAGGCTTCGTCTTCGCCGCGCCCACCGGAAGTTGTGCCGCTCCTGCCCCCCGCGGGGGCCCGCGTAGGCCAGTGAGGCGCCGTCCACTCGACCAAGCGCCGCGAGCGAAAGTGGCAGTGCTGTGTCAGCGCGGCGAAGGCTTCGTCTTCGCCGCGCCCATTCGGAGGAGGTGGCGGAGGCGGAGGAGGAGGAGGAGGAGGAGGAGGAAAAGGAGGTGGAGGAGGAAGAGGGCGCGGAGGAGGAGGAGGAGAGGAGGAGGGGGAGGAGGAGGAGGAGGGAGGAAGGAGGAGGAGGAGAGGAGGAGGAGGAAGGAGGAGGAGGAGGGAGGAAGGAGGAGGAGGAGGAGGAGGAGGAGGGGAGGGGAGGAGGAGGAGGAGGAGGAGGAGGAGGGAGAGGAGGAGGAGGAGGAGGAGTGAGGGAGGAGAGGAGGAGGGGAGAGGAGGAGGAGGAGGATGGAGAGGAGGAAGTGGCAGTGCTGTGTCAGCGCGGCGAAGGCCTCGTCTTCGCCGCGCCCATTCGGAGGAGGTGGTGGTGGAGGAGGAGGTGGAGGAGGAAGAGGACGAGGAGGAGGAAGAGGGCGAGGAGGAGAAAGAGGAGGAGGGAGCAGGAGGGTGAGGAGGAGGAGGAGGAGGTGCCGCCCCCGCGCGGCCCGCGTAGGTGTTCTCGTCGCCAAGAGTTGTCGGGAAGCGGGGGCCGCGCACGAGCACCGTCCGCTTGCAAGGGGCGTGAGCGCGCTCCGATCAGCGCGTCAAACAGTGCCACGGCTGCCTGTTATGTTGTGAGGTCCGCGGGCAGCGGCCTCGAGGCGGAGGAGGAGGAGGAGGAGGAGGAGGTTGAGCAGCAGCAGCAGGAGGCGGAGGAGGAGGAGGGGGAGGAGGAGGAGTAGGAGGAGGAGGAGGAGGGAGAGGAAGGAGGAGGAGGAGAGGAGGAGGAGGAGGAAGGAGGAGGAGGGAGGAGAGTGAGGAGGAGGAGGAAGGAGGAGGAAGGAGGAGGAGGAAGGAGGAGCAGGAGGGAGGGAGGGGAGGAGGAGGGAGGAGGAGAGGAGAGGAGAGGAGGAGGAAGGAGGAGGAGGAGGAGGAGGAGGAGGAGGAGGAGGAAGAGAGGGAGGAGGAGGAGAGGAGGAAGAGGGAGAAGGAGGAGGAAGGAGGAGGAGGAGGAGGAGGAGGGGATGAGGAGGAAGGAGGAGGAGGAGGAGCAGGAGGAGGAGTAGGAAGGAGGAGGAGGAGGAGGAGCAGGCGGGGCCCTCTGGCTCGCTGACCTGGCGAACTCGATGCTCACGCAGCGCTACTCCTGTTCCTCCGCCACCCGTGCCCACCCTCCTCCTCCTCCTCCTCCTCCTCCTCCTCCTCCTCCTCCTCCCGCCCACGCCACTGAAGGGAGTGGGGCCACTCCCTCCTTCTGTTCCTCTCCTTTTCCCCTGCGTCGTGCTCGCCTCTTCCCCCTTCTTCCCCCCCCTCTTTCCCCCGGACCTGCCCCCTTGCCATGCCAAATATCCTAAAAGTACTGCCTCGCTGGTGAGCCCTGCCTGCCCCGTCAAGCCACCATCCGTCGACCAGTGCCACAAACACACGGGGTGCAGACGGCCTGGGTACGCCGCCAGGATAGCGGTCGTGCTGTTGGCGGTTCTTCGACTCCGTCCCCTGCACCTCCCACCCCATCCGACCCCACACTCTATCCCCACGCCCCTTTCCTCGCCCTCTCATACGCAGTTCCCCCCACCCCTCCCCTCCCTCCCTCCACTCCTCACTCCCTCGCTTCCTTCATCCACCCCTTGGCATCCCCCCCCCCGTTCCCCCCTCGGCATCCCACCCCATCCCATCCATCCTACCCATCCCCACCCACCACCATTCCCTCATGAGTAGCATGTCCTCCTTCAGCTTCTGCAACATCGATGCAATACGATTATCCTTCCAGCGAGTGGAGCAAGGCATCCTGCTACTGTCAGCCTTGTCGTGCGCACGCTGGCGTAAGAGACAAAACATTAGATATGGCTTGTGGTTATGTTGGCATCGCTTGGGTAAGAGGATGGACCGTGTTCATGCAAGCACACGTCGGCCGATACCAGAAGCGCAAGTTATGGTAATTCGGCTTCTGAAGGCGCCCTCTCCAGTCAGAACGAGTACGGGTTTGTCAGACGATGTCTTGCGAACTGGCATGCATGCCACTCGCTGCGCCAAAGCAACATTATACCGAACAACTGACCGTTCAGAGCGTCAAGAGAAGACGAACATCTTGCGGCAAAAAACCCTCCAGTCATCGGCGTGGCAGTGGCTGTGGCCTCAAAATCTAAAAGGCAGAATACTATATATGTGTGCGTTACTCCTTTCTACTGGTATGTGCTTGCTTGCAACAGATCAGCGACGCGTGCCTCCAATACAGCTGGTAGCGAAGTTTGACGATTGATGGTTTGCGAACCGACGCGCCTTCCTGCGAGGAGGGAGGAGTGCAGGCAGGAATGGAGGGAGGAGGGAAGAGCAATCGGAAGAGGAGCCGCAGCAGCAGGAGAAACGACGATAAGCGTTCCGACTACAGCATTGTGTACGGCATGCCGTTCGGACTCGCAACCCGAGCAGATTGTTGCTTCCTCTCAGAGGTGGTCGGCACTCGCCCAATGGGGAAGTCTCATATCGTCGACCTCGATGGCTCGGCAATCCGACCCCGCTAACCACGGGTCCCTGGACCCCTCCCTGCGTCTATCCTGGCCAGTTCTCCGAACCGCGTACAGTCGCAGGGAGGAAGACATCCATAGCGGAACAAAACAAATGTATAGACATAAACTTGCGGCGCTTGGCGCGGAGCTCCCAAACTTTCTGTGCCTGCACCACGGAAAAAAAAAACCAAACGACGACGCCGACGACGACGCTCTCGCTTCTGCCACGGCCGGGCACGGTCGTGGCCGAGGCCCTCGCCAACGATCCCCTGCGCGCGACCGCGCCGCGGCCTCCTCTCCTCGGCGGATCAAAGGCGGGGCCCTGAGGGCTGGGGGCCCGGGGGGAGGAGAAGGGATCCAGAGGAGGACTTACACTGTCTGAGGCACCTCGTCCTCAGGACTCCACGCCCTCGAGACCCCACCTTTGAGCCACCTACCTCAGTCGAGGAACACAAGGCGGCACCAGCATGATTTCGCGAGGGTCCGCGCAGATGTCGTGGATCGGCGCTGGACCTCTCTCCCTGGCGCGCGGAGCGCACCAGGGGCGGCGCCTGGGGGGGGCGGGGGCAGCGCCGATCCAAGAAATCCGCGCGAAGCGCCAAACATTTTCTTTGCTTCTGCAAGTTTGTTCTCCTTCGCTTCGCGCGACCACGCCGCGGCCTCCCCTCAGGGCTCGTCGAGGTACCTCGCCCAGTGGGGAAACCGGAGGTCGTCGACCTCGACCCGCCGCGGCTGGGCAGAGTCGTCGCCGAGGTCATCGCCCGCCATCGCCTGCCGGGGGGGTGCCAGGGGTGCTCCTGGCCCCCCGGGTGCCCAGAGGTTCGAGCAGGAAATCGACTACAGAGCTGTTTTACCCCAAGGTCGACTTTCTCGTCGAATCTGCGAATCATCTACGAGGGCTCTGCGGATTCGTCGCAGATTATTCGATGGGAAAAAGGATGTCTGCGGTGAATGCACTATGTAGTCAATCTCCTACTCGAGGGCTCTTAGCTGCCCCGGTACGCAACGCGCAATACGTAGCGTGTTGACGAGGAGCTCAACACGTAGACTGGAAACGTAGGTCTGGCGCGATGCATTCGCCAAAACGTGGGCCAACACGCTGAGACAACCCGCAACGTATTGGCACGGACGTTTTGAGCACGCACGTGCTGCGTATCAAAACGGGCGTATCAAAACGCTCGCGCCGCTCTGGGGCCCCTCGTGCCCCCCAGGGCCTCACGGAGGGAGCCCCCGGGAGAGCACGCGCGCGGTGCCAGGGGGCGCCCCCTCCCGGGCGCAGCGCTCGGCTCTCCCCCGAGGCGCGGCACCGCGCGGCCCGCGTGGCGTGCCGACGCGGAGCTCCTCCCTCCTCCTCCCTCCTCCTCCTCCTCCCTCCACCTCCTCCTCCTCCTCCTCCTCCTCCTCCTCCTCCTCTTCCTCCTCCTCCTCCTCCTCCCACTAAGCCTCGTCAAAAACAGATTGACGAGTTTTTGTTTTCGGTGCCTGCGTGGTCGGCGCTACAGTGCTGAAGTGAAGTATTCGGCCCAGACGCAAGGGTGTCCGAGATCCGGCAGCATGCCCTGGGATGCTCTGTGTGTCTGGGCTGACGGAGGGCCTCTCATGTTCTTGAAGGATGTCTTTCTGTCCTACCAGCCTCGTCAAGCATAACTTGAAACGCTGTTCAAAATCGAAGCGCTCGATAGCTCGGGCACTTGTCACAAAACGCGTTCTTCAATGCTACGAGGGTGATTACTGCCAGATTTCAGACACCCCGCGTTAGAGTAGCAACGACCACGCAAGCACCGAAAACAAAAACCGTCAATATATGTTTGACGAGTCTTGTAGGACAGAAAGACATCCTTCAAGAACAGGATGCCCTCCGCCAGACAAAACACACAGAACATCATAGGTCCTAGGGTACCCTCCTCAGGATTCACAAGAGCATCCAACAGACACGAAGGACATCAGGGTACCCTCCCCGGACCGACCTCAATCTTGTACCTCGGTCCGACTGCAGGTCAGGCGTGATGCATTGACCAAAGCGTGGGCCAGCGCGCGCGTGGGACGTGCTGAGCACCGACACGTGGTGCGTTCAACACGTGCACATCAGAACGGCTGCCCGCCGATCGGCAGAAGCGGGTAGAAGCATGGAGCAGGAGTGGGGGTCAAGCAGATTGGGCTCGGGCCCGCCAAGAGCAGAATGAGACAACAACAAACATCATCGACTCTTGAAGTAGGAAGGCGCCTTGAGTAGATTGAGACCTGCCATGGCTTTCGTAGAACGTCCATCTCTAGTGCGTGTTGAAGCGGGCCCAACCCCGTGGCCCCAATCTCAAAGTTCGGAGTGGTCGACGCGGGGAGTGCGAGTCGTTTCGAAAAAAAAAGCCGACGTTTGCAAATCGCGGCCTGCTCCCTCAGATGAACCTTGAAATTAGGGGCGCGGGGGGCTCTCTTGTGCGCCATTTTCTTGCCGTTGTACCTGGGCGCTTTTTTTCCTTTCGAAAACGCCCGTGGGAGCCCAAGAACACCTACAGTCGGGGCTGATTGAAGAGGACACGCGAGAGGACACAAGACCCTCCCGAGGGCCACACTGCCAGAGGCATGTCGAAAAAGCATGGGTCGCGAAGCACAGGACACGAGGGGTACCCCTGGGTCGGCAGGGCCGACCTACTGATCAGCCTCGACTCTACTTCCCACGCCTGCCGTGCAAGCTTGGCCAGCACCCGCGCCCGCGGCGCCTCCGCCAGCGCACCCCGCGGCGCCGCCGGCCTCCGCGCCTCCGAGCGCATGAGCGCGGCCCGCCCGGCGCCGCGCGGGGCGGCAGTACCCGCCGGAGCCGCCGCCAGGTCCGTCTTCGCGTGGCGGGCGGGCGCCTTCTCTGATGGGCTTGATTTCCGCCACCAGCACCATAAGTTGGAGGGGGGAAGGATGTGGATGATGACGATGATGATGATGATGAGGAGGAGGAGGAGGAGGAGGATGAGGATGATGATGAGGAGGAGGAGGAGGATGAAGATGAAGATGAAGATGAAGATGATGATGATGATGATGATGATGATGATGATGATGATGATGATGATGATGATGATGATGATGATGATGATGATGATGATGATGATGATGATGATGATGATGATGAGGAGGAGGAGGAGGAGGAGGAGGATGAGGATGATGAGGATGATGAGGATGATGAGGATGATGAGGATGATGAGGATGAGGATGAGGATGAGGATGAGGATGATGATGATGATGATGATGATGATGATGCTGATGCTGATGCTGATGCTGATGCTGATGACGATGATGGTGATGGTGATGGCGATGGCGATGGAGGAGGAGAAGGAGGAGGAGGAGGAGGAGGAGAAGGAGGGGGAAGAAGAGGAAGAGGAGGACCCCCTCCCCCTCCTACTTATGGTGGTGGTGGTGGAAAACAAGCCCGCCATTCTCGGCGGCGGGCGGGGAGAAGCGCCGAGGTTGCGGGCAAGATCTTTATCCATAGCCATTGCGTCTTGGAGTTGTCGGGGCTCCCTTCCTCTGAGTTACCAAAGGCGCCGTGGATATGGACAAACAATTTCGCCCCTATATCCACTGAAACGCGGCCTGCCGGTGCCCCTCCCAGAAAGTCCAAGACGCAGTGGATATGGATATATATATATATATATATAGATATCGTGCCCGCAGAAGTGGGGCTGGGAGGAGAACAGCTCCAAACGGCCTCTGTAAGGAGGGAATTCCCACTGGGCTTGCTCCCAGACCCCACCTTGGGACAAACGCCCCGATCAATGGGCCCCAGAGGCGGCCTGGGCCGCTTCTTCTTGCCGGCCTCAAGACACTGCCTGTGGAGCACGAGAGCGGTAAGACAACGGCTCCTGGGAACGGGGAAAAAACGGTCCTGGGATTGGACCAGCAACTGGAACCGGAGAAAAAAAATGGCGACGGAACATGGAAAACGGCGCCGCAACCGGCCCAGAAACGGCAAAACGGAACCGCCCAAAAAAACCCTGTCATTTGCAGGGCCCGCTAAGAGCGGGCGGCGGCGGAGTCGCGGCAATGAGCTCACTGAGAGCACAAACATGTTTTTGACGTCAGAAAGAAGTGTGCCTTCATAATGCGTTTTGCGGTCAGTCAGCTCATTGCCGCCATCCCGTTGCAGGCATGCCGCTGCAGACATTTGGCTAAGGAGCGCTCTGGCGGGAGCAGACAATTGCCCCTGCACCAGAAAGTTTACGCACCTCTCCCCTCAGTCATCCAGGGGAAGCGCAGCGGGCGGAGTCTGGCTTCTGCCCCTGCACTCGGGCCTCCTGGAAGACGCCCACGTGGCCACGGCTGGACGCAGCTCGAGGGAGTGGCCAGCACGGACCTCCCCCCCCCCCGAGAGGTCCGGCCGACCCGCCGCGAGCGGACGCTGGCCGGGGATGTGAGCGAGAGAGGGGGCGGCCTGGAGAGAAGGCATGGGGACTGCTTATACAGAGGGGGGCCAGGAGGCCTTCGGGGAAGGCAGCCCAGAAGGCGGGGCGGGCTTCTGGGAAGGCCCCCACCTGCTCAGAAGGCCGCACCCACTCCCCCCCCCAAACAGACTACCATCCTCCTCCTTCTCCTCCTCCTCCTCCTCCTCCTCCTCCTCCTCCTTCTCCACCCCCCAGCGTGCTCGAGCTGGTTTCGAAGGCCGAGTCTATCCTCCTTCGGAATGCCGCCCTCTCCCAGGTTGCCGCCTCTGTTCCCAGGGACCGCGATCGGAAGGTGGAGGTGGTCCCTGTCCCGCCATCTGTGAGACGGGCGGCGAAGAGGACCCAGGCTGCTGCGAGCTCGGCCCACAGCTCTGCGCAGCTCCCAGGTGGCTGGAAGTGCAGAGCGTGCGGTCTTTGTGTCCGCAAGACCGCCTCCAAGGTCCTGCGCCGCCTCAGGTCGGCCTGCCCCTCCCCCCCCCGAGAGTGCTGCTGTTCAAGAGCCTCCTGTTGAACAGGGGGCTCAGGACCTGCCCGCGGGAGGGAGAGACGGAGGGGGAGGTGGTTTTGTCGGACGCCTATCGGCGATTGCCGCCCATAGACGAGCACCTGTTTGGGACCCTCGGCCTTAGCGACCCCCCGTGTCGGTTGCCCTGTGGTCGTGGTTTCCAGGGCAGGGTGCCCCACCTGTCCCACGTGCTGTGGAGCAAGGGTGCGTGCTGTTTTTGTTCAGCGTGCGGCAGGTACTCGTCCTCCACCAAGATGGTAAGATGGGGAACCTAGGCTCAGAATGTGCGAGTGCGCTTTTTGGAGACAAGTCTCTGGTCAAGGCGCAATATACGTCTCTCATGAGACTGAGGAAGGGACTTCCTCCCAGATGTGGTGTCCGTGATTGGGGTCACTGCGATGTGGACGTCTAGCCTGTGCCCCCCTTTGTCCCTGGAGGCGGCGGAGTCTCAGTGTCTCTGCCCTTTCTCTTATTCCAGCGGTGTCAATCCCCTTTTGGCTGCTTGCGCTGCTGCTGCTTCTAACAATAAAAAGCTCCTCCTCCTCCTCCTCCTCCTCCTCCTCCTCCTCCTCCTCCTCCTCCTCCTCCTCCTCCTCCTCCTCCTCCTCCTCCTCCCCTTCTGTGCGCACGGCCGACCTTCGCCGCCCCGCAGGCGCTGGCCTTTGCCAGCTCCTTCATGTAGATCGTCGGGTGGCTCTGGTGCTTCGGCCAGGACCAGCGGGTGTAGTAGCCCTCGAAGAGGGGCGTGCCGACGACCCACAGGGCCCCCAGCGGGGTCTCCTTGTCCATGGGCACGAGCGCGGGGATGCACAGCTCGGACATCGACAGGAGATGGCTCAGGTTCACGCCGTGGAAGTGCGGCCCGAGGTCGATGCCGCGCCTCTCGTGCAGGTCCTGGAACACCCTGCCCCAGGCGCCGGCCCCGGCCCAGACGCCGTCCGAGGCGTCCTCGAGGGAGGCGCCCGCGACCTCCTGCTCCAACTTCGCCGCCGGTCGCCGCGGCGCGGCGCGGGTGCTGCCGCTGCTGCCGGTGCGCCCGTGGATCTTCTTCGCCCACGACGGCATTGACACCCTCATGGTGTACGCCGCGGCGGGGATGGTCGCCTCGAACGTACCGAAGTGCAGCTTCATGGGAGGCAGGTCCTGCAGGTTGGAGCAGTCCATCTTCACGTTCAGCATCTTCGAGATCTTGCGGATCATCTTCATCGGCCCAGCGATGATGTTCGAGCCGGTGTCGATGATGGCCGTGCACTTCCCCTGATCGCAGAACTTGAGGCTGCCTGGCTTCGAAGCCCGGCCGCTGCCGAGCAGCTGCTCATCCGCCAGCCCTTCGCCAGACGCCCGCACCCAGCCCATGCTCTTGCTCTGCGAGGTCTGGTCGTCGAGCGGCGAGGCGACGGATGAATGACTGAACGTCTCGTTCCAGCGAGCCCCGTCGCCGCCCGTGCCTTCGGCGAGCACGGCGCCGTCTCCGGAGTACTTGGCCCGCACAAACTCTGCGAGCTCGCCCCGCTGCGAGAGAAGGGCGCGCACGCCTTTCTGGCTGAGCACCGGCATCTTGCCCCCGTGCTTCGAGACGGCCCTGTGCTTCGCGTGCTCGGCAGCCTTGGAGCGGTGGCTGGCCGCGGAGCCCTTGTTGCTGTGGTGGATCGCCATCTCGACGCGGCTGAGGTTTATCGCCCAGTGGATCTTGCCCAGGACTGGGATCGCCGTCCCGTCGGTCGCATTGTCCCCCCACAGGACGGTCCCCGTGTCCCTCTTGCCCCGGCAGTAGCCGAACGCGGTCATGAGGCCGTGGTCGCGGCAGGCCGAGAAGAAGGACTCCCCGTGGCTCCTGTCCCGCATGTGCTGCAGCCCAAAGACGCCCTCGGCGCCGCCCTTCTTGTGCAGCACCGCCAGCGAGTCCTGCAGGATCTCGGAGAGCGGGAAGCCCGTGAGCTTGCGGCCGCCTGCGCGGATGGTGTCCTTCCCCTCCTCGGTGACGGCCTTGCCGCTGCCGTACGCGATGTAGCCTTGCCTCGGCAACCTCTTGTCACCCTTCTTCATGAACTCCCGCACGTAAGACGTCGACTTGCCGTGGTCGTACATGTTGCCCGTCGGCTTCACGTTCTCGGCGGCGCCGCCGTCGACGACCTCGAGCTCCCGCTTGACGGTCCTCCACGTCTTTGCCACAAACCTGGAGCTGCCAGTGTCGAAGATCACCTGCATCACCACGGGCGGAGTTCCGATCTTGATACTCCCCGAGGGCACGGAGCCGTTCACGGCCTGCGAGACGGTCCCCGTCACGCTCCCGTGCAGCATCTCGGCCTCGCCAGCAGACGGACGGCCCGGCGCTGCCGCATGCGCTGCTCCGTTGGGGCCGATCTCGACCTCGCCCCCGTCGCCCAGAACTGCGCCAGCGAGGCCTGCCTTCACCTCGCCGCCGGCGGTCAACTCTGCCTGCCAGACGGCGCTCGAGTCCGCGGCTGCTGCCGTCGCCGCAGGGCCCAGGAGGAGAAGCAGCAACCGGGCAGCGGCTGCGCCCACCGGCTGGGTGAGCGCCCCCCTCATGGAAGAGGAACGCCGGGCGGGGGCTGGTGCGGACCCGCCAGGCTTTTCTTTGTGGCGGCCGAGGCCGGAGCACAAGCCGAAGCAGCTACTGGGGAAGGGAGGAGGAGGAGGAGGAGGAGGAGGAGGAGGAGGAGGGGGAGGAGGAGGAGGAGGAGGAGGGCACTGTCCTCCAAGCGGCCAGGGAGGCGTCCAGCAAGATGACAAAAGCCCTCGGCGCGCGAGCCCCGTGCCCGGCGAACCCTCCCTGAGCCCTGGCCTTTTGGTCGGGCACGTTCTCCCGCAGGTGGATTGTGGGACGGAAAGTGATAAATAGCAGCAAAATGCTCTAACATGGCACGAACAAATAATCGAAACATGATACCCCGACGATTTTTAAACCTATTTCTGTATACTCCTCATGGAAAGGGACAGGCCCGACGTCACCCCGGCCCACCGAGGCGTCGTGGTGAGCTCACAGAGGCCTCCCCGAACGGGGTTCGAGGCGAGGGGGTCGAGAGGTCAGCGACTCTCGGCGACGTCGATGATGCGTCGGTGTGGAGGGCTTCTCCGAAGGGCTTCGGCAGCCCGTCCTCATCCTCCTGCTCCTCCTCCTCCACCTCCTCCTCCATCTCTTCCTCCTACTCGTCCATCTCCCCCTCCTCCTCCTCCCTCCTCCTCCTCCTCCTCCTCCTCCTCCTCCTCCTCCTCCTCCTCCTCCTCCTCCTCTCTCCTCCTCCTCTCCTCCTCCCTCCTCCTCCTCTCTCCTCCTCCTCCTCCTCCTCCTCCTCCTCCTCCATCCCCTCCTCCCCCTCCCCCCTCCTCCACCTCCTCCCCTCCTCCTCCTCCTCGTCCTTTCCTCTCCTCCTCCTCCTCCTCCTCCTCCTCCGCCTCCTCCTCCTCCTCCTCCTCCTCCTCCTCCTCCTCCTCCTCCTCATCGGGTCGCCTACGGCCCCGGGGGAAGCCGTGCACGTCGGTGGCGTCGGCCTCGAGAACATCGGGGCCCACCTCGCGCCGTGCCGCCGATGTCTCCGCGAAGCGGCGCGACCCGCGGACCCCAACCTGCTCCGGCCTCCATACATATTCGGGAGGCCTGGAGTCTCCAAGCCCGCCGCCCTCCGCTCTGGCCAGACCTCCCAGCTAATTGCTAAAGGCCTCCTAGGTCCTAGCTGGGGTCGGCGCAGATGGGGTCGGAGGATCGCGCCAGATCGCCGATGCATCGCCGATGCATCGCCAATGCATCGGCGGTGCATCGGCGACACATCGGCGGCGCATCGGCGATACATCGGCGACGTCGGCGTGGAGAAAGTCGGGCTCCACATCGGACTGCATCGCCAGTGCATCGGCGATGCGGATCGCGATGCACCGACCCCATCTGGTCGGACCCCAGCCATGGAATCCTAGACTCATGGGAAGTCGGGGGCACGGGATTCCCGGCCTGCCGGGAGGGGGAGGGGGAGGAGGGGGAGGAGGAGGAGGTGGAGGAGGAGGAGGAGGAGGAGGAGGAGGAGGGGAGGAGGAGGAGGAGGAGGAGGAGGAGGAGGAGAGGAGGAGGAGGAGGGGGAGGAGGGGGAGGAGGCAGGAGGAGGAGGAGGAGGAGGAGGAGGGAGGAGGAGGAGGAGGACGCGCCTGTCGGCCGCGCTCGACGTTCATCACCAGCGCCTGGCCGCTCGGGAGGCGAGGTACCTCTGCCAGCGGGGGGAGGAGCGGCCGGGCCGCGTCGCGCAGGCAGGGAGCACGTGTCACGCCGCAGAGAGCGAAGAGAGCCGGGCAGAGTTCTGATGGCAGGCCGAGCTCTGCAGCCGCCTGCGCCTCTGGCCCTCCGTGGCTCCTCCTCGCATCTCTCACTCAATCCCGCTCGCTCTCTCGCGCTCTCGCGCGCTCTCGCTCGCACTCTTTCTCTCTCTCTCTCTCTTTCTTTTTGTTTGTTTCTCTCTTTCTCTGTATGTGTATATATATATATATATATATATATATACACATGTCTCCCTCTCTCCCTCTCTCCCTCTCCCTATTCTACTCCTTCTCCTTATCCTTGCTCTTGCTGTATGTCGCCTTACGTGTGTATTTTTACACGCAGTAGAATAGATGTGTATATATATCTGTATACATATATGCTCACACATACATCTGTGTTGATAAATTCGCCGACCCTGTCGGCGTGTGTGAGGGGCTTTTCCGTTCGAGCCGTCATCTCCGTCATTCTTTGTACTCGTCGTCTCTGTCCTTCCCTTTCCCTGGGAGACCTCTTCCCCTGGGCTCCAGCCAAGCCGACCTTGAGCAACCTCGTAATTGAGTCGAAGGGAAGCCCCTTCCCTTTGATCCCTCCCCCGCCGGGAGGGGGGGGGGGGGGTAGCGACCCCCCCCCCGGGTCAGATACGACGCCCCCCCCTGGGACTCCTCTTCCCCTGGGCTCCAGCCAAGCCGACCTTGAGCAACCCCTGGGCTCCAGCCAAGCCGACCTTGAGCAACCTCGTAATTGAGTCGAAGGGAAGCCCCTTCCCTTTGATCCCTCCCCCGCCGGGAGGGGGGGGGGGGTGTCGACCCCCCCCCCGGGTCAGATACGACGCCCCCCCCTGGGACTCCTCTTCCCCTGGGCTCCAGCCAAGCCGACCTTGAGCAACCTCGTAATTGAGTCGAAGGGAAGCCCTTCCCTTTGATCCCTCCCCCGCCGGGAGGGGGGGGGGGGGTGTCGACCCCCCCCCCGGGTCAGATACGACGCCCCCCCCTGGGACTCCTCTTCCCCTGGGCTCCAGCCAAGCCGACCTTGAGCAACCTCGTAATTGAGTCGAAGGGAAGCCCCTTCCCTTTGATCCCTCCCCCGCCGGGAGGGGGGGGGGGGTGTCGACCCCCCCCCCGGGTCAGATACGACGCCCCCCCCTGGGACTCCTCTTCCCCTGGGCTCCAGCCAAGCCGACCTTGAGCAACCTCGTAATTGAGTCGAAGGGAAGCCCCTTCCCTTTGATCCCTCCCCCGCCGGGAGGGGGGGGGGGGTAGCGACCCCCCCCCCGGGTCAGATACGACGCCCCCCCCTGGGACTCCTCTTCCCCTGGGCTCCAGCCAAGCCGACCTTGAGCAACCTCGTAATTGAGTCGAAGGGAAGCCCCTTCCCTTTGATCCCTCCCCCGCCGGGAGGGGGGGGGGTAGCGACCCCCCCCCCGGGTCAGATACGACGCCCCCCCCTGGGACTCCTCTTCCCCTGGGCTCCAGCCAAGCCGACCTTGAGCAACCTCGTAATTGAGTCGAAGGGAAGCCCCTTCCCTTTGATCCCTCCCCCGCCGGGAGCGACCCCCCCCCCGGGTCAGATACGACGCCCCCCCCTGGAACTCCTCTTCCCCTGGGCTCCAGCCAAGCCAACCTTGAGCAACCTCGTAATCTCTTGCTGCGCATTGCGAACAGGGTCGGCGGCACCGGCCGTCAGGCCTTCGCAATCAATGTCACTTTCGCTTTCGTGCCAATTACATCTATTCACGCTCATGAGTCTATATACAATTGTGAAAAATGGATGGCCGCAGATATTCATAGCCATATGCATATGCATATACGTGTGTGTATGTGTGCATGTGTGTATGTGTGTATGTATGCATGTATGTATGTACGAGTGTATGTGTGCATAAGTATGAGCGTATATCGTGAAATCCCGTTCCCTCTCTCGCGCTCTCGCTCTCACTCGCTCTCTCTCTCTATATATATACATGCTTCTCCCTCTATCCCACTCCCTCTTCCTCTCCTTCTCCTTATCCTTATTATTGGTGAGTATATATATATATATCCTTGTGTATTTTACACGCATTGTTTATATACCTAACTATACAGGCATCGATGTGTAGAAAGCAATGTCACTCTCTCTCCCTCTCTCGCTACTTGCATATATGTACGCACATGAGTCTACATGTATATGTATGTATGGATGGTCGCGCATATGCATAACCATATGCATATATAACCACGTGTGTGTAGGTGTGTATGTGTGTATGTGTGTATGTGTGAATGTATGCATGTATGTGCATGCATGTATGTATTCGTGTATGGATGGATGGATGGATGGATGGATGGATGGATGGATGGATGGATGGATGGATGGATGGATGTACGTATGCATGTATGCATGCATGTATGCATGTATACATGTGTATACACATGTATATATATATAGATGTAAGAATGTGTATGTGGATGTACCTGTGTATGTATGCTTGTATGGATGTCTGTATGCGTATGTGTATAGGTATGTATGTATGTATGAATGCATGTATGTATGTACGTACGTATGTTTGCATGCATACATGTATGTGTGTATGTATGTATGGATGGATGTATGCATCTATATGCACGTGTATGCATGTAGGCGTGCATGTATGTATGCATTTAGATAGGTAGGCGGGTAAGTATTAATGCATGTATGTATGCATACACGTATGTATGCATGTATGTATGTACGAATGTATGCATTAATGTGTGTAGATATGTACGGATGTGTGTAGGTGTGCGTATGCATGTGTGAATGTATGTATGTACGTACGTATGCATGTGTGTATGTGTGTACGTACGTATGAATGTATACACATGTGTATGTATACATGTACGGATGTATGCATGTGTGTACGTGTATGTGTGCATGCTCGTACGTATATATGGATGGATGGATAGATGTATGCATGTATCCATGTATGCATATATGTCTGACTGTCTGAACAGATGTGCCCTGATGCATGAGTTGGAGTGTCCTTAGATCCCTGGAGTTCTCCGTCCTCAATCCCGAGGGCTAAGTGTGTGAGGGCCTTGGCCGAAAAATCATGAATTGTCTGAAGCTCCCCGCATGACCGATTTTTCCACGCGCGTTCCCACATCATTGTTTCGGGGCCAAGAGGGTCCCACGATGGCCCAGGAGGGCCCGGTCCAAGGGGGGCCCCGAGTCGCTCGAAGATCGCTCCAACGCTCCACGACTGTCCAAGAGGCCTCCAAAATCGCCCAAAGCCAGCTCAAGAGGCCCTCGAGCTGGCTCCCAGACGGCCCAAAGAGGGCCCCAGGACAGCTCCAGATGCCCCGAAGACAGACCAAGAGGGCCCAAAGAGCGGCCCAAGGGAGGCCCGAGAGGGGGAACACGAACCGAC